ACGAGACTCTTCCTGCAATAGGTTAAAGGGGAGTTTAAAGGTTTCATTTACAGTTATTGTTTTAAAAGAGGGTGTCCATTAATTGAAAAGGGGAAAGTAACACACCTAACTTTAAAATGAATAGATAATCAAACCATTTTAATACAAGGCTAGCTCACTGGCTGAGAGGGTCAGCTAATCTCTCTGTCACTGAGCTATGCCGGGTTTGGCTCAGACAAGGCTTTTGGCTCTCTGGTATTAGTAGAGGAGGCGAGGAATGGCTCCTGGCAGACTCCAGATATGAAGTCAAACCATTCTAAAATGGTCTAATGAATTACAATGGCGTGGTGCCAGTACACACCTGGCAATATGAGCAGTGCGCTGTAGTAGTTATGGTGCTTGGTGTGCTCATTTCAAGAAAGAGTTACTTTAAGTTGCCAAGGTGCCAAGAGTGACATTTTAAAACACTTTAAATGAGAAGAAATTGTGTCTTTCTTAGTCTCTCCTACTTGACCCTTCGTTCTCACAATTTTTCACAATCTCTCAGTTGTTCTAGCATTACTTCAATCTCTTCAGTCTCCCTGTAGTTCCTGGAATTCTCACTTTTTTTCTAAAAAGCATGCCCTCATCCTAACTAATCACACTATGTCCTCTCTAGATCCTCTTTCTCTATCACTATGTTGTTAGGCCTGTCAGTTAAGAGGTAAATGAAAGGCTTAGTGTACAAATGCTGATCCAATTTCATCTATTTCAAATAATTGTGTTGCCTTTCCCAACACTTTACAGAGTAAACCACTCAGAAACTCCTTCTCCTGGACCAATCAAATGTCATCATATCAAGGAATCAACGAATGTTCATAGTATTTGTAATATCTGTAATGTAGAAAAAAAAAATATGCAAGCTAAACTATCAATAAAAGCTTGTTGGTAAAACACAGAAACACAACCTGTGCATGCGCACTTCACCCTGTGCAGCAAGTAGCAACTGGCCAGTGAGACTTAGTGACACAAGATTGGAACCAGACCTTTTAAAGTAAAATATGCTGTAACATATGACTTCCCTTGCCATGGACTAAGGTCCTTAGCACTAACTATGAAAACTAGCCTCAGACCATTAACCTTCGTCCATCAAATTTACAGTTTACAATGTATATTGTCCTTTTACTTTATCAACTTACAAAAACAATCTTGCCTTGTAATAATTCTTATCTATGCTATTGTCACACTTGACAAAGCTTCCATTACATTTTGTATATCTTTGTCTTTATTGATTTGATTTTACTGCACCAAATTTTATTATGTCAAATGTAATGGAAAACATCTGTTCTATTTATCTAGCCGTAGTCACACGCTATTGGGAAGAAAAAGGTTATGTGGCATTTAAATGTAAATTTACATAAAACGAAATCTCTAAAATATCTGAAAAGTCTAAAATGTAATACATTGCTGAAACAGATGCATACTGATAGCTGGTGAGGCTGATCCACATAACACATCATGTACTATTATTTAGAAAATAAATAGGATATAATACATAATTAGTCCCAAAAGATCAATAACAAATCGTAATCAGAGAGGCACATCAAATTCCCTAGAAAAGCCAAAATGAATGAAACACTTTAAATAAAACATTAATGCACTTACAAAAAATTGTTTTCTATACCCAATCAGGTAATGTGATAAATAAAGGAGTATCTCACATAACAGAAACAAGCCCTTGCATATTAAAGCATTCTTTATTCCTGTTATCTATTATGATTTGCATAAATATGTGTGATATGTGATACAGGTGATTTAACAAGACCATACTAAACACAATCACACCGTTGCATTGTTAGAAAACTGATGATGCTTAGTGTACGCTGAACTTACTTTCAACTCCAAAACTGTTTTAGAATTGCAGCAATATGTTAGAATTGCTGCATCTCAGGGGATAGTTACAAATGCATTACTACTTCCACAATGCTAAGTACTTGGGCCACAATAGGGCATTGGAAGTCAAGAGTAAGCTGCAGCCCTGTATGCACATGTATCAGGATACAGTCCCCCTTTTTATGGTGCGCCCCCTCTGCCCAGTTTCATCACCTCCCTCCTCTCCAATCTACATAACTCTCAATTTTGGGAGAGATATGTTTCATATTGTTGGAGTGTGAGCCTGGTAATATGGAGCATTCATATGTTGCAGTAGAGAAAGCAATCACCGTTGGGAAAAATGCCATGAAGAATTGATTGCTGTCAGTCAAGCTATGTATCAATCAAGTCAAGTGTAGCCTTACAAACCCAGAGCCAGGGGTGGTAGGGCTCTGGTACATGTGAGTTCTGTCCCTTCTCCTCTACTATACACTGTACTATTCAGATAGTCTGCACCATACCTGTCACTATTATTCATTTGCAGATTGGTTATCATCAGTTTTAGCGCACTTATTTTAATAACATTTTTTATTTGTGTATTCATTGTGTCACTCTGGTTCAGTGCACCTAAACTGAGTGCTTCATCACCTCTACAGCGCTCACACACTGTCGGTTTCTATATTTGAATGCTACATACTTATTTTCAGACCTACTCATATTTACATATGTTTCACAAAAACATCACAATCTGGAAATAGCTTAAAGGAAAATGTAATTTAAAAAATTAGTTTTTATTAAAAATGATATTACCTGTAATAAATCCTCTGTATTATTTCATAGAGTATCCATAACAATAAATAAGGCTTTTCAGTGCATATCCTTATTTACTCTTGCTGGTTGATAGTATCTGTCTTTAAAAGGAAACTCTGTTAGGTATACATACATGTATTTCTAACTTTAGAGCGTATTATATCTAATTTGGCTCCCCCTCCTCCCCCTTTAAAAGTGAAAATAAAAACCTCACTTCTCCTATCTCACTGCAACCATCTTTCCTCAGGCGACTCTCCACTCCTCACTGAAGTAATCATTATTACATCATTTGATGATCTCAGCCAATCCAATGCTTCTTCATAGAGGTGCTGTGCCAATCAGCATCTATCAATAGTCCGTTGTCTTCATGCTTAGCGTGAGGATGGTGCATCCACGAACTGCATTGGTTTTATCACTTCGAATGTCTTTTTAAATACTTCTTTGTCAGGATACAACGTGATTTGACTGAAAGTTGCTGAGAGCACATTTTTCAGATTCCAGGAATCTGCACATGTCAGGATTTATGAACACACACACTCGCTCCATGATCTTTGGTTGGATAAGCGTTGCTTCCGACCAAGTGCTTTCGACCAACGGAGACTTAAAGATGGTAACAATAAAAAAAATGACAACAGTTTTCCTTTAACATTTCTCCTGTTATATCACCCCAAGGCAGAGAACAGAAATACATCCGTAAGATATATAGTGTCATAGAAGTAATACCAGCTAGTGGATTTGGATAGTTGCAGCCACAACTGTAGTTAAAAGGTTAATGAAACCATGGATAAATGACTAAAACAGTATTCTCTGTTGCAGCAATCAATACAATGTTTCACACTGCCTCTGGAAGTCCAATGTTTGGCCCTATTGGCCTCTAGGTTTGGCCCTATTGCTGCATAGTAACGTTTGGTGGAAAGGGAACAATGATTTGAAGCTGTTAATGCAGAAATTGTTCATTGCATTTTTCATAGATCTTTTGGTGGAATTCTAATGTAATCAATGTAATTATTTGATTTTCTCTGTTGTTTTTTTTTTTAGTAAGTATGAAGCCTCCTGTTTTGCCAATAAATTAAGGGACTGCTTTGTCTTATATAAAGACTGATTTTTGGAAAAATGTGATAAGTGGCAGTTCAATCAGCTACAGCCTCCACAATTTGCCTTGTCCCACCAGCTTTCACTCAACACAGCTCATTATTGTTATATAGCGCCAACATATTCTAAAGCGCTTTACAATTATAGAAAGGGCATAGCACAAGTAATAAAAGCCTTGTTTAAATAAGTGTGCAGTCTATATGGATATGAGATATGCAAAGACATATAATTTGTTGCCTTGCCCAAACACACTTACTGGTGGTGTGACTCGGATTTCAGCCTACGTTTCCCATTTTTAAGGCAGGGATATATCACTGCTCTTACTTGCCAGAGGGGACAGTTCTTTTCTGACGTGCCAATGTAAGATAATTATTACTAATTACATATTTGATATAAGTACCTTCTTATTATCGTCTAGGATAGAATGGATTCATTTGTAGAAAAGACTGAAAGAAGGTCTCATATCTAGAAAGATAGAAACATGGAATGTGACGGCAGATAAGAACCATTCGGCCCATCTAGTCTGCCCAATTTTCTAAATACTCTCATTAGTCCCTGGCCTTATCTTATAGTTAGGATAGCCTTATGCCTATCCCACGCATGCTTAAACTCGCTCACTGTGTTAGCCTTCACCACTTCAGCTGGAAGGCTATTCCATGCATCCACTACCCTCTCAGTAAAGTAATACTTCCCTCTAATTTAAGACTATGCCCTCTTGTTGTTATGTTACAGTACTCCAATCAGAGTAGGCTAAACTTTTCTTTCTGTTTCAGATAAAGGATTTTACAACTGCTATGAAATCCCATAAATGTAATTTATTTCTGTATGTAGAGATCTGTTTGTTAACTAAAAGAACATTATTCCACATTGCTAGCTTGTCCGGGAATACACCTACACCACCTACAAGAAAAATTGTGAAATCAGGCCTTTCCAATACTGCAACTGGCCCCACGCAGAGTTGAACTCCTCCTCATTTGTGAAATCAGGCCTTTCCAATACTGCAACTGGCCCCACGCAGAGTTGAACTCCTCCTCATTGGACAAAGAAAAGAGTAGATTAATATACAAGTATCAAGGGGGGTTGTTACTATGGGAAGAAACTGTGAATCATTCCTGTTATCCTTCTTTATGTGGGCCTGAAATAATCTCTTTTTTTGAAGTTTAATAGAATGTTTCTTAAAGGAACATTAGAGTTAGGAGTTGGGAATACAGATCTGTAAACCTAATGTTAAAGTGTCCCTGTCCATAAGTTAATAAGCCCCCCCAAGCGTCTGACAATTAAAGGGTTAAAACCCCAATTTCATCTTACCTCTTTCCAGCGCCATGGCTAAGTCTCCACCTCCCGCAATGTCACGGCAATGGTGGGACCTAGTGCACTCTCCGCGCGTATCTAAACTTCCCCATAGAACAGCATTGAACCAATGTTTTCCTACGGGGTATTTGAAGATGTTCGAAGTCTTCGAGCAATGCGTGAGGACATCCAACATCGTTTAATTGAATAAAACTCCATTAGGGATCAGGAAGCGCCTCAAGTTGTCTGGAGGTGGCGTTAACACTGTAATACAAGCCCAGAAATTGCAATTGGTTAAAGAGACAGGAGCACTGCCATTATACCCAGTCCACTTCCATGAGATGAAGTGGTCTAGGTGCCTACAGTGTCCAATGCAATCAAACTTTTTAGCATTTTTAATCTACGCCATCAAATAACCCTTGTATATTAGAGCAATATTTATATTGCTCTTAGTAATTTCATTGATTTATATAGTTGAGAAATACGTCTGGACATTTATCATGGTGTAAGTGTTGGGGTGCTGTATGGTACATTTGCTACGGGGAACGGGGGAATGACTGGAGGATATTTGTCATGGTGTAAGTGTTGGGGTGCTATGCAATACATTTGCTATGGGGAACGGGAGAATGACTGGAGGATATTTGTCATGGTGTAGGTGTTGGGGTGCTGTACAATACATTTGCTATGGGGAATGGGGGAATGACTGGAGGATATTTGTCATGGTGTAGGTGTTGGGGTGCGGTACAATACATTTGCTATGGGGAAAGGGGAGAATGACTGGAGGATATTTGTCATGGTGTAGGTGTTGGGGTGCTGTACAATACATTTGCTACGGGGAACGGGGGGAATGACTGGAGGATATTTGTCATGGTGTAGGTGTTGGGGTGCTGTACAATACATTTGCTACGGGGAACGGGGGGAATGACTGGAGGATATTGGTCATGGTGTAGGTGTTGGGGTGCTATGCAATACATTAGCTATGGGGAATGGGAGAATGACTGGAGGATATTTGTCATGGTGTAGGTGTTGGGGTGCTGTACAATACATTTGCCATGGGGAAAGGGGAGAATGACTGGAGGATATTTGTCATGGTGTAGGTGTTGGGGTGCGGTACAATACATTAGCTATGGAGAATGGGAGAATGACTGGAGGATATTTGTCATGGTGTAGGTGTTGGGGTGTTGTGCAATACATTAGCTATGGGGAATGGGAGAATGACTGGAGGATATTGGTTATGGTGTAGGTGTTGGGGTGTTGTACAATACATTTGCTATGGGGAAAGGGGAGAATGACTGGAGGATATTGGTCATGGTGTAGGTGTTGGGGTGCTGTACAATACATTAGCTATGGGGAACGGGGAGAATGACTGGAGGATATTTGTCATGGTGTAGGTGTTGGGGTGCTGTGCAATACATTAGCTATGGGGAACAGGGAGAATGACTGGAGGATATTTGTCATGGTGTAGGTGTTGGGGTGCGGTACAATACATTTGCTATGGGGAAAGGGGAGAATGACTGGAGGATATTTGTCATGGTGTAGGTGTTGGGGTGCGGTACAATACATTTGCTATGGGGAAAGGGGAGAATGACTGGAGGATATTTGTCATGGTGTAGGTGTTGGGGTGCTGTACAATACATTTGCTATGGAGAATGGGAGAATGACTGGAGGATATTTGTCATGGTGTAGGTGTTGGGGTGCTGTGCAATACATTTGCTATGGGGAACGGGGAGAATGACTGGAGGATATTTGTCATGGTGTAGGTGTTGGGGTGCTGTGCAATATATTTGCTATGGGGAACGGGGAGAATGACTTGAGGATATTTGTCATGGTGTAGGTGTTGGGGTGCTGTGCAATACATTTGCTATGGGGAATGGGGAGAATGAATGGAGGATATTTGTCATAGTGTAGGTGTTGGGGTGCTGTACAATACATTAGCTATCGGGAAAGGGGAGAATGAGTGTAGGATATTTGTCATGTAACATGTACAGAGCCCTCCTCTTTGTTTTATGTTTCTCTTCTATGACTTATTTCAAGTTAATAATACAGTGGAAGAGTTGTCCCTAATCATATCCCAAATTATCGTTTGTATTCCTGTTTGAAAATCATATTAAATTCCTGCCAGGGTCAACATAGATTTTTCTTTCTAAGGTACTTTAAGTCGGTTAGTAATAACATCGACACCTGAGGATGTACGTCAATACCTGACACCTGAGAATGTACGTTAACTTTATGATAAATGTTATATTCTTAGCGTAAGGGACGATTAGTGGTTAAAGTGCATGTGTCATGGGTTCCCTAAAAAGAGGAACTGTCACATTATACCCCACTATATATCACAGAATTGGTTATGTGGACGAGCTAAGCGGCAGAGGGGAAAAAGACAAACACTGCTGTTACATTTTAGATGAATGTTGCAATCCTGACCCCAATACACCCTGTGTGCATGTGCTGAATGTACATACAGTGAGGATCATATCGAGCCTGTGTACGTGCATGGTGGAATCAAATAGCAAGTAATGCCAAGATATGCCAGGTCAATCATACAAATATAAAAAAGATTGTTTTTGTTACTGATGTCTGCTAGAATGTGTCTACTTCCCATATGTCAATTCATCTTTAAATATACAGCAAAAGTGATGGATGATTGTCTTTAGAATGTTGGGGGTTCTTTACATATATTTTAACACGTAAAAGAAATCACAACTTTTATTAAAGCAAGCTATAATTGGATGAAGCATGGGTTCTATTTTTTATCATTTAAAAACTGAACCATTTTCTTTTATTTTGTTAATCTTTTTTAAATATATATATACAATTAATATTTAAATAAGATTAAAAAAATGAAAGAAAATATATATATGATATTGCTGCATATATTGCGTGTGTATATATATATATATATATATATATATATATATATATATATATATATATATATATATATATATATATATATTTGTGTAAGGGGCAAAATAGCCGTATATGGAGTAAGGATCCAGCATAAGCTTAGGATAGTGTAAAGGGAGCAAGTCGGTTGTGGTGTGCCGATACCGACGATACGGTAGGCCTGTAAATAAAGAGGGCCCACCAAGGAGTAAGAAAGTAAAGTAAATGGAAAGAAAAGAGAAAGTGTTGAAATGAGGAGTGGGTGGGAGGGTCATTCTGATGCTGACCTCAAGCGATATGAGTCAGGTAAGGGGTGTCCCTTATATAGGGGAGTGAATTAATTTAAGCCCCTCCCACAAATACAGGCAAAACTGCCTTAATACTTGTGTAAGGGGCAAAATAGCCGTATATGGAGTAAGGATCCAGCATAAGCTTAGGATAGTGTAAAGGGAGCAAGTCGGTTGTGGTGTGCCGATACCGACGATACGGTAGGCCTGTAAATAAAGAGGGCAAAAATGAATAATCAAAGATTTAATACAGTCAACAAATATATACAAATTAACCAGACATTTCCTTAAATGCATTACAGTATTTAATTCCTGAAAGGATTTTGAAGGTAGGAATCTAGGACCGAAAGTGGGCACCATTTGTTGTGGGTAGGTTAGTATGTTATCTCTACTGTTGGTGCATGTTGACTCATTTCGGAATGTGGTAGAGCCAATAGGTAATGATATATGTGTTTACGTACGTGGGATCGTTGAAGACAATGATCTGTCTGAGTGGTGGTGATGGTAGTGGATTCTCTGGCCTGAGAAAGGCATAAAAGGCAATGTGCATGGCTGGTAATGGCCGACTTGGTAGTATAATTGAATGGTTGTAGATCTAATAGGTCCGATAAGGATGAACAGTTGGATGGCTATTGGTAATCTCTGAGAGGAACGTGGGGGAATGGATTCCTGAAAACCTCTGAGTATATTCTTTTCTGGTATGATAGCATGAAGTTTATGGTAGTTTTGGCCATAGGTTATCATGTGTTGTTGAATGCCTGTAAAATATATAATTAATGGTGTATGAGATAGTTTAAGTTTAAGGTGGCAAAAATAAGCAAAACTTAGGAGAAATTTTGTGACACAGGTTGAGCTATGTCGTGTTCCAATGAGATTCTTTAAGCCAGGTGAAAAGCTGTGTTATGCGTTCTACAAGTATGGGACGAAAGTGCTAGGTGGGATAGTGCATGCTATGCTGCATGAGTATGTCTAATCCATGATTTTGTCTCTGGAACGAAAGAGTGGACGTGACTGTATGGGCGGCTGTAGGAAGCGTATGATGAACATGCCTGGAATATAAATGAGACAGTTGTCGGCAGGGATGTATACCCCCGTCTGGTACATGAAAGTGAAATGTGATAAGTGGCCAACCAAGTGAGTTCCCCAGAAACATCATGAACTTATGGATGAGTAGTGGCGTTTGTTGATGATATGATATGTGCTTAGTTGTCTGAGTAACAACGGATTGATGACCCTGACCATGATTTACCCCATGCCACAGCAGCTGCTACAATGGGGTAGATCTCCCAAAGGGGCTGAAGTGGTGGAAAAATTTCCAAACCTGGATGCCATGGCCAACAGCCCCAAAGCAATTGTTCCCGGTAGATCGCTGCCAAACCCGTGGTATACGCTGCGTCTGACCATCTGGTTGGAGAAGTGTCAGACAATCCTGGAAGGAACATGCTTTTACCATGCCAAGTGGTTAAGAAATCCCCCCCCATGTGTAGGTCTGCTGTTGCTGAGGTGTCTAGGCACCTCCTCTGATCGTCATGTTGGAAGTGTGGAAAAAATGGGAAAGTACTCTGGATGTGAAAGCGTGGTCTTGTGGTATGATTGGCATGGCAAAATTAAGGAACCTGGTAGGGATTGTAGTTCCTTGTAGTTGTAAGTACTAAGCAGGAGGTAGTGATTGATTTAGTTGAGAATGTTCCCTATTTGTCTTGTGGTAACTTGCGTGTATGGATGCCGACTCAAGTCATATGCCCAGTAATGTGATGATAGTGTCTGCGCCTTCTGTTTCTTATGGGGTACTGGGACGCCCAAGTGGTCAACCAGACTAAGCTGCCATGAGGCTTCTAGTGAAAAATATGCTTTCTTTGAGCAACAAGAAGTCTTCTAGATAGTGTATGACTGTAATGCCTCTGGATATGTTATCATAACCAGCACAGAGTATCTGCGAATATCGATAGTAGGTTAATCTGTAGCTCGAAAGTTGAGCAGGGAAAGGATTGCCCAATTTATGCCATG